AACCATTATTAAATGAACACTTATATTGCATATGTAAAATATAAGGAAGGTCATAGGTTATTCTGAAATGGATTATATATGTTATAACCCCTTGTTACATGGAGAAATTGATGATGATCTAAATTAAGGACAAATACTGAAATACAATAAAATAAAATCTTATCATACAAGTATTTTTACATGCAGAATTAAAAATCTAAGTGCGAATGTACGTAACAGAGGTATGTTTGGATATTAGCATTTAACTAAACACTTTTGTCTGGTAGATATAATTAATTGCTTGAATATGAATCATATATAATTTATACTGTACTGTCTTCTTTAATTGAGATATCTCAATGCAAAATTTTCCTTCCATTTCTGCTTTTTATCATAACTGCGGTAACATCTGCCTTTGATAAGGTAACAGTTTCTAGACTCACTTTTCCTACTTTTATTTACTGCTTCACTAAATGTAAATGGTTGAAAAGTAAGTTGAACTATTGTTTGAAATGAAATAGAGAAAACTATTTCAGTTGAAGTGTAAGGATAGATGTTACAAGCGCAAATATGGAGATAAAATGCGACTGTGGTGCATTTCTAAAGTAAATACATACAGATTCCAGAGCTTATCATGCTTCTGACATTTCTTTTACTTATATATTGAGATATGTATTATTATGTTCAGATGTGCAATTATTAAAATTCTTGTTTTCCTTGATCAGGTCCGCGCCAAGCCTAATCGTCGCCGCCATGCAAATGTCTAGCCAGCGCCTTTATGCAGTGACGATATTAAAGGGAAATTCTTTATGGTTAACACTTAAAATGAAGAATTACTAACATAATAATATGATAAACCATAAAAAATTAAATTTTATCTTTCAGTTTGTCTAAATGTGCAAACATTTTGTGCTTTGTAAAAACCCACACTCTCAAACCTATTTATTGAAGAATTAGTTATATATTTATGTTATAAAAAAGTAGCAGCCCAAGCGAAGCAAAATAATACACTAAACGCACTGGATACCAAATACTATTTATTATCTTTAAATTAAAAACAAATTTATTTATGTATCTAATAAGTTTGCACTGAATAAATTGTTGTTAACAGCATCGTTTATGACAAGGTTCAAACTGTGATTATAACGGCACAAAAAACACTAGGGGTATATTCAAAATTCTTTTCGGCGCACTAACTTGTTGACAATAATGTAGCATAGGCAGCGGTTCTCAACCTTTTGACTAACGCGTACCGTCTAAACAAAAATTGAAAAACTTAGTACCACCTCTCTTTTTTAATAATTATTTTTCAAATTCTCAATAAAAAATATAAAAATATATATATTTCCATTTACACAACTTATTGGCATTTTATAATTGCACATGTAAAAACTGTTAGATTAAAAATTGGTTATCTTTTAATTATCAAAATTTGAGTTAAGTAAATGCATAATTTTTAAAATTCATGTGAAATTTGGGTCTGTTTTAGAGAGATCAATTCTTATGTTGGCCCAATTTAGGATCCACATTAGAATCCACTTTTAATTTTGTTCTGATTATTTTTGAAATACCACGGAAGAAAATCCTTGTTCACAAAATAGGTTGCAAACGGCAATAAAAATTTTATTTGATGCCTTTAAATTTTTCGATTTTGGGAATCTTCAGTTCGAGTTTCAATCGCAGGAAATTTCATCAATTGTTCTTTTTCTTCAAGAGAGTTGAACTTAATCAGTGCTTAATTGCGCCGGAGCCCGGCTCCGGTACTTCTCAATTTTAAAATTTTACGCCGGAGCCCTAAATAAGATGAGCTCCGGTACTTTTTATAAAACTGATAACATTTAAAGTGGAAAAAATTTTAAGGTTCTAACGTTTTAGTTTAACAATAAGCAGACCTTGCAATACTCTATTTCACTAAAAATACGAACTCCTGAGAAAATGAGACGTTCACGTAAAGTCCCCTCCTCACAGCGGACACCTTTCCCTTTAAGAAAGCAATAAATTTGGGGAGTTTGTTCAGGAACACGTACATTTCTCGCCATGCCATCGCATTAGTGTATGATCGAGCTGTTGTTAATCCTACATAAGGAAAATTTGTTCTAATGTGCGTTAAGGACAGCGATACAATAGGAGGGAAATACTGAGATAAACTGCTCAAGCACGTCCTATACATCAATTTTCCCACATATCCAACTAATAAGGGAAGCGAAAAAATTTACTTTCATCCTTAGGTCAGATTCGGCTCATTTTACCCCTGCCACACATTGCTTGAGGCTATACTCTATCAGCAGAGACCCTTCAAAGGAACATTCTTTCTCACCAAGATTCCTTCATTTTTTTATTTCCACCCACTCAATCCTCAGTTTGTTTCGCCCTGGAAGTGATGATAAAAAAACTCCCCTCCCCTATGACCAAGCTTAAATTGCGCCAGAGCTTAAGAGTTCGGATCGGTGCTTCTTATTTTTTTGTAATAAATGCCTAATCTAGCTGGAACCACCGGAGCCCTGAATAAGAAGGCTGCGGCACTTCTTTTATTAATTTTTAAATATTTCAGGAGAAGTTTATATCGAAAATTTTATTTTAACAATATAATTAGATTAAAATTGGTTTTAAATTTCCTTTATATCTTTACATTTTATTAATTTAATTATTTAATTACTGCCTTTTTTAATTTTTCAATAATAATAATAATCAATTAAATTATAATTAATTAATTATATAAAATTATGAATTAAATTACTAATATTATTGATTAAAAAATTTATAAACATTAATTAAATAGCTATTAATTAATTTTATAATAATTAACTATTTAATTTTTAAATTATTAATTTAATCGTCATTTTATTTATTTCTTTACTCTTGTTCCTCATTGCTGACGTATTCCATAGGGCTACTGCATTTCTAATCTTAGAAATTAAGCCGTGAACTTAATAGTTAAAATTATTTTTCTCTGCGTACCAAATTTTATCTCTTTCGTGCCACCGGTTGAGAATCGCTGCCTTAGATTTCAACGGCATGCTACATTTTCTCCAAAAGTTTGCAAAAACTGCAGTTCATGCATGAGATCTATAACTATTTATATCGCTTTGATTTTTACCAGTTAATCCTTTTTTGCAGTTTTTGACATAAGCTGAGCTGATCTTGTGAACGAAAATAGGTGATGCCAATGTGTATATAAGGATAGATGGCGGCGCTGTAGACACGTCCGACAAATTGCTTAATCCTTATTTTGTGTCTACTGTTGCAATGATAGTACATTGTGCAACATTTGTCTTTTTTGTAATTGCTTGTTGTTATTCTATATAAAAAAAAGTATTTTAAACTTAGGCTAGCTTTTAAGAAAAGAGAAGATTTGGGCACAATTACTCGAAAAATGATTTTTTGTTTTATACATGAACCATTTGTTTATTAAACTAAAAATTATTATCTTTTGAGAAGAAAGGATTGATATATTTACGTAGTACCACTGAATTTAAATCATACCTTTTTCAGATTTGAAGTGAAGTAAAAATATACAAGGCATTCTGAAATTAAAAATTGCCGAAGGAAAATGTTTCGTTATTTCATTGCATCTTAAATACATACTTTAAATTTGATTTATTTATTTTAATAAACAAAAGAGTACCCCCACCTCCTTGAATTATTTGGTATTGATCTAATAGTTCATATATTTTCCCAGCAGAGGTATACTCAATTTAGATAGAAGATATACTCAATTTTTTCAGAAGTAAGGTAAAATATTTCAAACAGCGACTTTCTGAGTCTTTTTAATAAGTGTTTTACTTAATAGTTCTTATAATAGTAATTTTCTTTTGAGAAGAAAACAGAAAAAACTATCTGGGTATCAGAATTTAATGAAAAAAAAGAAAGCAAATGGAAAACTTAATAAACCAGAACTTTAAAATTACTCAGTTTTCCAAAACACAGAGAATACCCAAGCTTAAGTTACTAGCCCGTCAACGTCTCAGCTAACCACTGAAATTACCAAAGGAACCTAATAACCAGAGAATTAAAAACTGTTTTCACCTGGGAATTACCTTTAACTTCAATGCAGCCGGTCGGAAAAAAAAAAAAAAAAAAAAAAAAACAGAAGAAATGCTAGTGAAATCTTCAATTTCTGCAGTTAGATACTCATTTACCTGTGCCTGATGATTCCGGATTATGTCCAAGTCCATTATTGCCATCGCAAGCCTTAGTAGAGAATGGTCCTGGATATTATCAAAACCTGGTTTCCTGTTTCAGTTTCCCAAAAGACAAAAATGGACGTAAAGTTTTAGTCCAAAGCAACAATTTGCTCTGAAGGACTATTCATTTCGTTTTCGCATTTTGCATCGAAAACTTTAAAAGGGATTAAATACAGACTTTATCCTTGTTCCCTCCCCCCTGTACGAAATTCCGCCATAGATAGCGCCAAAAGAGTCTCATTTTCTCGCCAGTTTCGTATTACGTTATCAAACAAAATCCGTGATGTGAAGCGTGATAGATATGAAAAATTACGTGAAAGTAAACCGTATTTTTGCATTTGCAAAACTAGAAATTATAATAAATTCGCTACTATGCATCTAAATGAAATGAATATGGAATTTGAAAATAGACTATCTGAGAAATCTTCCAGTGGTATTCCACGATTATCTGAAAACATATTCAAAATGGCAGTGCGTTTACGTGTGACTTGTCGCTGGCGACTAATATGTCATAAACGTATACAATTATGTAAGTTTTTGTACTTTGCTCGATTAATGTGAAGGAACATGGATCAGCTTTTCCTTGAACGTCCTTGTTTGCGCAGGATTTCAGCTATCTTGTGATTCCAGTTTTTGGCTGCCTGTTTTAGCCCGTAGATATTTTATTTAGTTTACAGACTTTGTCCTGAAGCAGAGATGTACCTTCTGGTGCTTCATATATATATATATATCTTCTTTCAGATCTCCATATAGAAAAGCTTTTTTACGTCAAGTGATTTACGTGCATCTTCTTTGAGCTGCCCCCCTATTGCCAAGATAGTCCTTGTTGTGGTTATTTTACGACCAGTGCGACTGGTGCGAATGTTTCGTCGTAGTCGTGCCCAAATTTTTTTGGCAATATCCTTTAGCTACTAAACGAGCTTTATACCTGATAACATTCCCTGAAGCGTCGGATTTTGTTTTGAATGTCCATTTGTTTCCAGTTGCTTGCTTTCCTTTTGGAAGGTCGACTAATTCCCATGTTTTGTTTCTCTTCAGTGCTTCCATTTCTTCTTTCGTGGAATTTAACCACAGATCCTTTTCTTTGGTAGCAAAAGTTTGCAGTTCTTCCCAGTCTTTAGGAACTTTGATCTTCATTCTTAGCCATGTATGAGAATCTGTTTGGTGGATTCCTTTAGTCGTTCTCGGTATTGGGGAATTTTTCCGTTTACATTCTTTCCTCTGTTGTAGCATTTGAACATGGTTCTGTCAATTTATTTTCTTTAAAAGGCCATTCCTATTTCCTCATTCTGATTCATTTAATTGACGACGCATTTCTTCCTTTTTGTTTTCTTCGAATATTACGCTTCTTCTGATCACGATGTTGTTTGTAATTGGCATATAAATTCTATAGACCTTTAGTACTGGTCACTGCATCCAATAAGAACTTCCTTTTTCTGCTCTTTCATCGAGTTTTGCTTCTTTTCTGCTTCGGAACTAGGCAATAGGATGTGCTGCCGAAAATCTCTGATATGGCTTAAGTTCGGCTTACTATTATTCCAGAGCTCATACGGTGTTTTTTCAACTGATCTTGATGTAGCATGTTTTGTAGATACGTGGCTGTCGTCACGGCTTCACTCCGAAATTCTCTTTTGAGTCCTGAATCGAGTAGCAGGCATCTTGTCATTTCCATTAAATATCTATTTTTTCTTCTGCTCTACCGTTCTATAGTGAATATGCTACGGAAATTTGATGTTCGATTCCCTCTTTCTTTAGATAGTCTCAATCTCTTTGCTTGTATATTCTCTCCTCCATTGTCTGCTCTTAAGACTTTTGGCTTCTTTCCAAATTTGTTCTTCGTCATGTTACAAATTGTTTTAATTTGGAGATAGCTTCATCTTTTGTGGCAAGCTAGATAGATTCGTTGTGTATCTCGGAATGATCGTCGATGAATGTTATGAAGTATTTCTTTCCTCCTAGTGATGTTGTACCGATTGGTCCACAAATATTCTGAATGTATCAAGTCTAGAACTGATTTTGCTCAATAGTTGTTTGAGCTTGGGATACGGCAATTCAGTTCATTTTACTTCTGATACAGCATTCGCATTCTTTTTCCTTCTGTTTGGCTTCTCCGTCAATCCTTATTCCGGTTGCCAGGTCATCATTCTTTAGCCTCTTGATTGCTTCGTAATTTCTGTGTCCTAGTCTTCTATGCCAAAGATCTATACTATTTTCACTTCTTTCTGCAGCTGCAATTTTTGGCTTTTCTTCTTTGCGATTCAACTATGGTATATAAATTTCCTTCTGCTTTAGCAATTCCTATATGGTTTTATTTTTCTTCTTAATTCTGCAAATATCTTCTTCAAATTCGACTGTAAATCCTTTCTTTGCAATTTTTAGTACGGATATCAATCCTCCTTCTAGGTCAGGAACGTGCAGAACAGCCACGAGTCTTACTTCTATTTCGTTGTTTTCGTCGTCTGTACAGTATAAGTATCCTCCGCCGATATCTTCGGACTTAATATGAGTACCGTTAGTATTGTTATTTCCTCAGTGTTGCTTCTGTCTAATTTAGTGAAAAAAGTTTATTTTATCGGTCATATGACAACTAGCTCCTGAGTCAACTTACCAGTTTGAGTTTTGAAATTTTCTTTCTCTGGTGACTTCGAACGTATAATTGTGTCTTCTCAAGATTCTTATTTTCGTTTTCATCTTCGTGTGTATCCTGGTTTACAGCAACTTTCGTTTTCTGTTTATTTCCATAATTTCCTTTATTCGCTTGCTTTTCATTATTAAAGAATGAGTTACTTTCGTTTTTGTCTTTTTCTTTGTGATTATTTAAGAATCTGCATTCCTTTTCTAAGTGTCCTAATTTTTTGCAATAATTGTATTTTCGTTGATTGAAATGCTTGAATTTTAAAATTAGTTTTGAAATCAGTTGTTTCTTCTGTTCGCGTGCCTTCTTTTCTTCTTAGGCATTCGTCGATGAGTTTCGCTTTTACGTATTCCAACGTTAGGTGTTCTTCTCGACGTGCTTCTAAAGCTGTAATAAGATTTTCGTAGCTTTTTGGTAAACCGCTTAGTAAGAGCGCTGCACTGTGACTGTCTTCTATTTCTTCACCAATTCCTCGCAGCTCGTCTACGATTCCGAGCATTTTGTTGACGTGTTCTTCGAGCTTGTATTCGTTTTCTGCTTTTAAGGTATACAGCTTTTTGAGAAGGTAAAGTTTACTGGAAGGATTCTTTCTTTCATGTATTTACTTTAATTCATTCCATATCTCTTTAGCTGTGTATTTATTTCTTATGTGTACGATTTGGTTGTCTTCTACGAGTAAACTAATGGTAGCTTTTTGCTTGTTCATCTCGTTTTGTCCATTCGGCGTTTATTTCTTTTGGTGTGTCATCTGCTATTAATCCCATCAATTTTCCTTTTTCAGGATCATTTCAAGTTTGTATTTCCATACTTGATAGTTGTTATTGTTTAGTTTCATAATCGAATATTTATTTTCGCAGCTAGTAGACATTTCTGCTTCTCTTTTTCGAATGCGCAGTACACAACTATGCAGTTTTGTTTCGCTTTTGAAGAGAGGCTTCGCTTTTCCTTTTTCGGATCATCCAGCGGTAATCTATGGCAGAGTATTTTTTTCTGTTTGTATTTTTTATTCTTGATGGCTCAGCTCGATATATTTTATGCGTTTAGTTGAAGTAAACATGCGCTCGGTCTCGTAATCTAATGCTGAAGGTATGCGTGGTTCATTTGTTTACTATTGCAACTTCGCTAATTCGAGACGAGCAGATGAATAAAACAGAATTAAAGTTCTTACCTTAATAAAGCGTAATCCAAGTTGCGGATGTAGAGAACACGATCATTATTAGCACACGAAATAACACATTTATTAGGTATAAGAAGTAAATAATACGTAACGATGATTACAAACGTTGTTTACTGTCCATTGCATAACGCGAGAATGAGTCATACAAGGAGACCTGTTTTGGATCACGTACAACTCCTGTTCATGGAGGTAGCAAGTACCTTTCCTACCTCCATGCTCCTGTTAGCGGGGCCTGATGGGGAAATAAACGTCGGAGGGTGCAGCTGCATTGCTGTCGTTATCACTTGCTCCACACCTCATGCAGGTAAGAAGTGAGAGAAGAGGCAAAGAATATGTATAGACAATAGGGAGAGTTACTAACCGGTTTTTCTTCTTTCACTGCTTTGAAGTAGTGGGGGGATCCCTTCGTAGACACCAAAATATCAGGACTAAAGAGAAGGGCTAGCTCATAGAGCGTTTCCCCTGAAACAGGCAGTGAGGAGTGATGACGTAGCAATGATGCCACTGAGCGCGGAGATGCAATTGACAACATAGAAATTAGCGTTTTAAATTTGAAGAATCAGCGTTTAAAATGAGCTGTGTGTGAAAGATAGCTATAATTTGGAAGAGACAATGTTTCTGCAGTATGCATTTTACACTGAACATTACAAAATTTAATAGTACTTACTCAATTTTAAAATGATAGATAAAATGCGCTACTCTTAGCATAAAGTTCCTTTTTTTATTTGCAGGGATTTTTTTTTTCTTTAAATGCCTGTTTGTTTCTAATCATTTCTTTATTTGCATGTTAACTAAGAGAACTGTACTACTGCTAAGATAACTATAATAACAGCTATTTAAAAAATAATCAAAAAAACAACCTTAAGTTGGCATAGTTTTAAACGTGTATGGTTATATATGGCAAAATTTCTGCTAATCTAAGTTAGAGTTTCAGCCTAATTGTAAATTTACATTAGCATATTTTTTCTCCCGATTCATTATAATAACATATATTTTTTTAAAATAATTTTGTAACTTAGGCTTACATCAATATTTCATTTAAATAAATACATGTAAGATTGTTATTTTAATTTAGACAAAACAACTTTACTCACAGTACCTAAAGATAATTATTTAATTTTTCAAACGTGGGGGTTAAGGGGGCAGGTCTTCTTATGCCAATTACTTATGTTATAGTTTATAATGTATACAATAATACAATAATGTTATACTTTATATATATTTTATCTAGAATGCTAAAGCTAGCACAAAATCGAATCAATAATAACAGAGGATACAATAAAAATAACTGTAACAATAATTTAACAGAATTAGTTCTCATTTGAAATATACTTTATGCTATTAACTTCTAAAATGTCAATCTAGAAATATTTCAAATCAAAAACATATTATATATACTTACTTTTTGTCTCTCGTTTCCCTTGACCATTAAATAATTTGGTTTTAGTTGTGACACAATTTAATTCTCTTTAATAATATCAACATTTAAAACAGTTCCATCTTCTAAAACAAATCCGTTATCTAAAAAGTGGTTTCTCAGTAATTTGAGCCCACCAGAGGCCGAGCGGTAAAGTCGCTGAACACTGGTAGTTCGGTCCGAGGTTCGAATCCCGCGAACGGGCTGGCTGCATGGGCGTTTTCGTGGTTTTCCCCATGTGTAATGTGTATACGAGCCAGTTTCCCTTAGAAAGTCCTCCACGAAGGCATCCCTCCCTTAGGTAGATAGCCCTAGTGTGCTTTGTCATAATTAAATACACCAACACTCAGTAATTTGAGGCAGTGCGCTAAATCTGCAAAAACCCATATTTTTTTCGTTTGGAATACTGGATTTGGAAAATGAGAACTATTAATCGAAATCTGTAACTCTTTCCACAAATAGTAGATCCTCCTAAATCAGACACTATTGCTTTCACTTCTACTCTAGATGATTGAATATGTCTTATGAGTGAAAAAAAGAAGTTTCTTTCTTCATTGGAGTGTTAAAATCAAAAAATATTGGTTGTTTCCACTGCGAAATGAGACCTCTGATTAAAACAAAACTGCACTTTTTGAAAAGGACCGATTTTGGTCCAGTTTAGAGTCATAGCAGAGTTTAGAATCTATGTGCATTTCGTCGAAACTGAGAAACGCATATTTTTTCTACAGAATTCAAATATTGGCATCTTTCCTTCATTACAGCAAGAACAATCGCTCTGAATTCCTGGACTACATGAAAAATTTAGCGCACCATCTCTTTAATGTGCTAGTGCTAGGTAAAGGAATTCCCATTTTTTCTTTCCAAAAATCGTAGCTTTTAGATGACAGAGCTCTTATGACAATGCAACATGAAATATCTTCACTAGTCCACCGGATTTTTTTCCTTCTTTTCTAGCAATGCGTTAATCCGCGTTTTTGTAAAAATATGGCTTTAGACGTTTTTCC